GTTTTTCTTGCTCTTCTTGTTCTTCTTGTTCAGTAATTATGACTTTCTTAAACTTTACATGATCGAGAAAAGTAAAAGTGATACAAATGGATTTTACGATAAATAAAACTCACCTTTTCTCCGTAAATGAACCCGTACATTGGAACAAGCTCGTTGCGCTTTGCCCTTTTCCCGTTCAAATGACAATCACCAGTCGCTACATTGAAGTTGAACGACTTGCAGCGGTCACCAACAAGACAGAGAGCACAATCAAAAACATCAGTAGCTTTCTTTTTGTCGATGGTTTGGCCAAGAAGCATGTAGTCATCGGTTGTTAGAATGAGAGAGGATTGATATCCCTCATCTTCGGTCGATATGGCGGGGTTTGATTGTATCAATAAGAAAAATATGACGAGAAGTTTTGAATCGAGCATCATTTTCTAAAGGACAAATAAAGTAAATGAACAATAACGAATGTTATTCTAAAAAAGTTAGATAATGGGCGAGAAAACTTCGGAGTTCACTTGAATCGGAATAGCTTTCTTTTTCTGAGTATTCGTCCTTTTGGTTTTTAGTTTATAATTTGCTCGGTCACTTTGACTAAGTTTCCATTTAAATGCCCTTTTTGAAAAGTATTTTTGATATTTATAATATAATTTTTTCTGGAATATTAACAGAGTTTCAAAGTGCTGCTTTACTACTTACTTGAGTGATGTTAACAGCGATTTCCTCGATAGCCTATTGCCTTCATACGCTTAAACACCAACAAATATATATGGGTCTATATGATATCTGATATCCATTATAAATAAAATGAACGTGGTGGTCTTTCAATGTTTTAGGGGGGTCGATGTTTAACGCTTAATTGAAACTTTATTAGTACTTATTCTGTGAAACTGTATTATTGCCCTAGTTTACAATCGTCGAAAAAGCTGCAAACATCGGGTTGGTTTTTCTTCTTTTTTACTTCCGTTTCAAACTTACAATGTTGTTTTATACTGTTATAAACAGTATTTTAGGAACGTTTTAATAGCTTAGTGACGGGAAAGGCTTTTAAACGAAAAATGCACGAGTGAAGATTGCAGATGGTTATCACACCGACGTATTGACAGGTACAATGTCAATATATAGAGGATAAGCAATAAACTGAAATTAAGAATAAATTTCAAATTTTAATTCAATGCAATTAATATTCATTACAAGTGCACGTGCTGAAGTTCGAACAACTGAATAAAATTCAGCAATTTATCAAAATAAAGAAAAAATGTTTTTTTCAATTTAAGCTTACTGACTTTGGCTCTCTTCACAAGAAGATTCGACGATAAATCTTCTTTTCAAAACTTTTTCAACATGTTAACTCACAAGTGGCAAGTAGAAATGAGCGGGAAAGTTGATTTTATTTTGACGCGCGCGTACATCCGGGACGTTTTGGTACATAACTTCGTATCTTCATTAGTGAAAATACGAGTGTTTTAGTTTCCAGTAAAATACTATTAATCATATAATAAATTTTATTTTATCTTTAGGAATAAATTTAGCTGGATTTAGTGTCATTTCATTGTTATCAGAGGGTCAACGTTTTAGAGTTAAATTGAATTCATATTCCTTTTTTGACAATGAAAACTTCAATGTCTGCAATTATCTTTCAATTCAACCTAACCACTATTGTTTTCAACAACTGTTTTCACTGTTGTTATTACCGTTTGAGGTGAATTTCGCAAATGCAGTCTTATATTGTTATAAAAGCACAGAAAAATTTCTAGCATGGTGACAACCTTGGCCTTATAAGCATCTGAGTACAAGGAGATTGAATTGAAAAGAGGACGATCGAAGAGAGAGAAAAGAGAGGATTGAAAACAGTTCTACAGATCTCCTTCTCATATGTTATTTGACTTATCAAACCTCTGAAGAGGTCATCCCATGTTTTTTTTTCATACATTTAAATTGAATTAACGCTTTCATTCTCGTTCGCCAAGTTTGTTTATTTTATTTTGGTTTAGTCCCGCGGATTTCCCGCGTGTGCGTAATGTTGAATTGGTCGAAAGAAATCTGAAAATACACATTTAACTGAAAACGATGTGACCAAACCCGATGCACTTCATGGTGAACTCTAATGGGCTCCTAATAATAAGACGTATATTGTCTACTGGTTTAGCAGTTTTTGAGTAAAACAGACCAAAACTCATGTAAAGAAAAAGAAACAAATAGACAGACGGCCATTGGTCGAAAATTACATACATTTCTTTGTATTTTCATTTCACCATAACTTTTTTCCTATTTTGTCCAGAGTTCTAAAACGTTCCAAAAACGTTTATTTCTGATAGTTCTTTGATGTTACAGTGACAAAATATGCATATATCTATTTTATTTTGGAAAAACATAATTGCAGCCATTATGGTAAAGATGTATCTGACAGCTTAATGGAATATTTGAAATTAAAAAGAAGAAATTAAAAGGAGGTGACAAGTAAAGAGTCACAAGCTGTAACTAGACTTTAGCTTAGTTAGGGGTACACAACGCTAAGCAAGACAGTGTAGAAAACCTGATAAAAATAGTAACCTAAGTTATGTTCGAGATAAATGTATTGGAATACTAGTAAACGTTAAATAGCTAAACAAAACGATGTCTACAAAACAGATGTCATATTTTATATCTAATCAAGAATATGTCAAAATAAATATAAGTTCTATTAACACAAGAACGCAGGTGGAACTTTATGGTAACCTAGGGAGTAACTTACTAGAAAACGTTCAGGAATATTAATTTACTATTTTTGTCTTATAACACATATATGAATTTCCAATCTAAGCGTATTAGGACTGGACAATTAACTCTTGTTCTTAGTGGGGGATTCGCTGTGAGATTTCAAACATAATACATGAGACAATTTCAATTTTGAAGAAAGATTTTTTAGTAATTTCCCTCATAAGGAAGAATGAGTAATTACTCCTGTGTTTGGTGTAAACAAAGCTGTATGTTATGCGTCTTCTATAACACAAAAATATCTCTATGTCTATAAAGCTAAATACTTTTTCAAACAAACAGCTTTTAGAAAATATTGCAACCTTGGCGTCTAATGGCCTCTTTAGGAAAATAAGACGTCAGGGAAATGTAGGAAAAACTGGGGAACCCCGTCCTAAAAGAAACTTCCTGACCCAGAGTGTCTAATGATGTCATTTTCTTATTTTGACGATAAAAGTGCACTTTTTCGCTTTTTAGTGTAAAATATATACATCCATGCCAAGGAAGGCTATGAAAAAGAATGTAGATATCGAATATAAATTGAAACAGTTAATTAATTGCTTTCAGTACTCGGCGAGTGACACACAACTGTTTTATCTTTAGATTTCCCTCCTTTTCTTGAATAAACTCCATGATGTTTTAAGCCACTAGTTATCCACTTGCATTAGATCGGGTATGCACAAGTCTCTAAGTACTTTTTCTAATACATGATTATACTATGTCATATATGGTTCACAAGTTAAGTACTAAAGAGGTTAGGAACAGCGTAATTGGTACTTTTATACTACAATTTCCTTTGATGTAGTCCTATGAGATGTGTATATTCTACCTTGTACAACAAGCCGTCAATGGCGAAACAACTCGAAGATTGTAAGTCTGGACATAAATCTGTGTGTAAGTGTACTCAAGTTTGCATCGTTGAAGGCTGCACAAAGCTTAACTTGTACATCGGGTGTCTGCCTACAAGAGTGTTTCTGGAGATCGTGAAATGGAATGCTTATCATATATGCAGTCAAATTTGTAGAGGAGGGAATTGCTCAATGAAATGCTTGAAAACACATACCAAGACCTGTCAGCAATACTGTAGTTGGGGTAACTGCAAAATGCAGTGCAATGCAGAAAGGTGCATCCCAAGTTGTTARGCAGGCAATTGRAATTACKAACGRAATCGACCGCCTGGATCTGACCGCAATGCACTGTGTGACGTGGTTAAGGATGGTGTTTGTCATCAAAGCTGCKCATCVTARGAAGGATGCAATTTGGTTTACAATCAGCTTGWCAACATGCATTCTTGCAATCAGTCTTGCCATGCGGGTTACTGTAATCTCAATTGCTCAAGCAAAGATARATGCACCCAAAACTGTGKGGGTGGGAACTGTGAGTCAATGCTGTGCAATGCAAAGATCTGCAAGCAGGTCTGCAATCGTGGAGTGTGTGGATCTATAAAGTGCGATGCAGAAAGGTGCATTCAATTGTGTTTTGGCGCCAACTGTCACATGACTTGCCCGTCACATGTGAAAGACTGTCACCAAGGTTGCATGACAAGACAAGGGCAATGTATATTTGACTGTCACGCAAGGAATTGCACATTAACGCTGGCATAATGTATTCTTGTTTAATACTTCTCGATATGAAGCCAACCACAAAACTTTATTAGTATACAGAAATGTTTTATAGTTTATAAGTAAGTCTAGTATAGTATATCTTTTTTTCTACACTACTGAGGAAGATCAACTCATTCATTATTTCAGTTGCTTACAACATGCATATATACATCGAAATTACACTTCACATGTGCTGTAAATAAATTTAAGACGTACAGGAAAAACTCGAGCAAATTAAAACTATATAATATTGACTGTAACTGATACGCATCGGGGCACTTTTCGCGGTTAAAACAAGTTTCGCGGGGACCCTGTGGTTTTGCACCAAAGCGAGGCAGTTTCAGCATAAGCAGAGTCCTTATTTTTTTGGTTGATAAAGTTGTACGAAACTTCCATAAGCTTTCTTAATTATAAGAAAGGCATTTTCAAATTTCAGTCTATTGCTACTGTCGACTTAATCGTCTTATAATGCTTGGACATTTTCAAATTTTGACGTGTAGAACCGTCAAGATATTTATCTATGTTGTCTAGTAGTTTTCAATCGTTGGTGAGGACATCGTCTTGGATTCTGGCGGACTTATCCAGCAATTGCAAGTAAATGTGGCTCGAACCTTTTGATGGGTATTGTCGACAGATATCTGTAAAAATAAAGAAGTACAATTTTATGTTTGTGCCGTGAAGTTTTGTTCATATCATTTCTTTTTTGCTTAAAGATTTTCTGATCCAAAGAGACATTCTAAACTGCATGTGTTCTCATAGCCGATACCAGCTAATCCTGAATAGTTTGACTATAGATCCCGAACCCAATTTCATCTCTTATGCGACTGACTTGTGATATCGATCTCGATTGCACATATGATCTCTGATTGTAATATTTTTATAGATCCTGATTGCAAGATTGCTGGATCTGCCCTGATCGTACATCATCAGTCATGTCACGAACCTGTTGAGCGATATGAAATTTAGAGCATCACTGTATATTACATGTACCTTGTTTAAATACCATTTAGGAAACGCACCGTTTTTGCGAGTGCGAACGTTCAATTCGGTGATGGGATTCATGTTCGCAAACTGCAAATCAAATCGATCGATGCTAGAAAAGAAAAAATATATTTTAAAGGTTAGATAGTATATAAACATATCACTACACTATAGTCACTAATGGGGTCATTTACAGTATGTCCTCGCACACAACTGCTGCCTTTGAGAATACATGTGCTATCGAAACAGGTAAAGTGATAGCTTGGCTCACTAATCATTGAGATAGTTAAAAGCAATACACTAAAAAGAAAGGAATCAGATTTGTTCTTTATTTTTCTTTGATTCCAAAATAATCATTGTCGTTTTCCATAACCTGATGAGGTGAATTCTTGTACACCCCTAATTAACAAATTAGATCTCAAGGACGAGTGGACTACGAGCTAATAGCCCATGAGGCCGAAAGGCCGAAAGGCCGAAAGGCCGAATGGGCTATCAGCTCGTTGTCCACGAGGCCGAGAGATCTATAATTGTTTTAGTATTACCATACTAGTCGGGCAAAAATTAAATATATAAATAACTAAATGTTCTTATTGCTAAAAATACGTAAAAATTTGTCGCTTTTCGCTAGTCGAGYACTATTGAAAATAGACCCCGAGTAGCYTAGCCKATGATGAGAACYAAGGATTTGCAATAGTCCACTAGCATTGGTAATACTAATATTATATATTATCCTCCGCCACACTGCTGGCCATAAATATTGACAAGTCTCTAAGTTGACATTTACGGTTGCATTCGTCTGGAGCCTGGCATTAAAAAGAGGCGAAGAGCTCCGCCAACTATACAGCGTATTGCAATGTTATGGAGATGAAACACGATGTACTTACTAATTCTTTGCAAACTTTCCTGGCAAAMTGAATTCAGTGGTTGTCAATGTTTTGTTCAGCTGTTTACCAGTCACGGTAATCCACACAGTAGCATCAGTTCCAGCCCATGTCTTAGAGCCTGTATAGACTGTGATCACGTACTTGGTCACTTGTTTTTCAAAAAAACATGATTTAGTAACAGTTATTCAATAATCTTCAAAAAATGATTATGCTAAAATAAATTCTAACCAACTTTGGGGGGAGGGAGGTAAATTCTAACCAACTTTTGGGGGGGAGGAGGGGTTTACTTCAATTGTTTAATATTCTAGAGTTATAGGAACTTTTTAAATCGTTATAATTTTTTATGTGGCATGTGGAATTGTCATTTGATACAGGTCCTTTCTACTAGGTAACGCAGAACCCCGTTSMGGATGCTGCGGAACTCGACAAGACATTGTTGGCCGATAAATGGTCAGGCAAACCTACCAAGTAGAAAGCATTTATTGCCATCCATTTTATAACCAGACGGGCACTCGCATGTAAAGGAGCCAATTGTATTTTTGCAAACAGCGTCGTTACTGCAGTTGTGTGCACCTTTTGTGCACTCATCGATATCTATGATCAAGATTATCAAACTCAATAATTCTCAAATTAACTTCCATGTGATATGAATATTCTTCAATTAAGTGTTTTCTATTATAGCAACATGCAGCGCATATGACTAGCGACTTGTCATTTTTCATCATTTATCTCACTGTAACTTATCTTTGTTAGTTCACAACGTACATTTGCGACCGCAAATGTTGGACGGCCATTACAATCTCTTGCCTCAACGTGGCTCGAGACTGCAACACGTACAACGCGACCAGAGGCACGTTGTAGAGTTTGCGTATCAATGCATCTCCGTAACTCACACGCCATTTTGGTCTTAGTTTCTAATTCTGATTGATTTTGAACTCATTCAAAAAATCTTCTATCAATTGATTACCAAATCTATGAATTCTGCAGGTAATTAAATAAGCAATTATAGTGAATTTTAAACCTGAGCATGAGCTTCCATCGCCTTCGTATCCTGATAAACATTGACATACATATGTACCAGGACTGTTTGAACAGCGTGCATTGACATGACAAGCATGTGCAACAGAAGTGCACTCGTCAATATCTATGGAAGATAGAAAACATTGTTTAAACTCGTGATGGAAAATGTACTGAAATGAATGCAATTAAATCTGGTTGAAAGTGCCAAAACTGAAAAAAAAAAAAAAACACACACACACACTAATAAGCAAAAAGAATCAGTCTGCCAACACGGCAACAACCCTCAAAGATAGCTAACTAGTAAAGTAAAGGACAAAAGTTTGGATGTAAATCAAAATAGTAAATCCATTGTTGACTGAAAGCAAAAGACCGTTTAGGCGAATTTCCAGCTGATGGAGTAACAATGTTACTATAGTAACAACGGGACGTTCACAGAAAAGTGAGTGAGTGAGTGAGTGAAACATTTCGGATAATTCGTCCACCTATCGATCGATAGCGAAATCTTCGAGTTAAAAATGAGAACCTTCATATAGCTGCAAATATAGTATGATTCAGAAAGTACTTACCAATACAATTTGGACCATAGCCCCCAACTTTCTTATAACCAGACGTGCATTCGCATTTAAAGGAGCCTTTTGTATTTTTACAGATTCGTTCACCAGTGCAATTATGAGTTTGGTCCGCACATTCGTCGATATCTGTAACGAAATTGTAAGCGAGTTACGTACTATAGCACACGGATTCGCAGCAAAATTATGAAAAGTGGGCTTACTCGTACTATTCGTAACTCGTACTAATGATACGGCAGCTTGTTGAAGTATAAAAGAGTGTGACACCAGATTCCCACGAGCAAAAATGAGTAAAAGTTTCATTACGAACGTACGTAACCGCGCCTTTGCATCGAAGGGATTGAGGCTAACAATGCAAAAATAGAAACCTTCTATTATTCACAGGAACACTTTACTGGACACTATATTATCATTAGAATCATTGGACTCAAAATTCACAGTCATTTATCACTGCAAGCTTAACTATTGTCTCGCTTTGATGCACAGGCACAGCTACCTTTTCAAGATGGCGCAGGGAACCGTGAAGAAGGCTATCGAGAGTAATAGTCCATACTYACGAAATTGCGAGTGGCACGATTCGGTTTGTTGTAAGTAATATAAACGACAAAACACGTTTATCTATATAGCTACAAATAGCTATCACGTGGTATTGTTCAATTATGGCATTTGCCACACGACGGATATTGCTCTCCGAAAGAACATGTCATAAAAAATGTGTTTTACATCGACTTTTTGTTATTCGTTAAGTTCTTGATACAAATAAAAAAGTATTAAGTTTATGGCATCCCACACACGTGTGTTAAAGATTTATGTTCAGCACAGACTGTCCAACATGGAGTACATACCAGAACAGCGTGGTCCACGGTATCCTTGAGCACACAAACAAGTGTACCCACCAGTGACAAAGTTTGGTTGGCATTTAGTATTGCTAGGACAAGGGAGTTTACTGCAAGCATTCTAGAAAATAAATGAAAATCAAAGACCTATATCCCTCCATGACTATCTGGATTMATTGGGAGTCTGTCTGTTTTAAGCATTATAAGATCTCTTAACAGATAATGAAATTAATTCACTAGTGAAAAGAACATTTTTTCGAAATAGAGAAATTTAGATATTTCATAGATAATACACTGATAAAAAAAATAATTTTTATCTTTTGAATGAATGAATCATTAATCGAGGCTAGAGTTTTCGATAAAAGGTAAAACTCCAGCCTCGAAATGAAGCCATTGCTTCGTGTTCATCCCGGCGAATGCGAGATTATTAATTTATTTTTCTTTTAAAATGAGCGGCGGCCGTTTTGGCAAGGGGTCTATTCAAAACATAGGTAGGTACTTAACATTTGTAATATAAAAATGATGGCTTGTAATATATTTCCCAGCAGGAGTGATAAAATAAAATATGGCAACCTGTCAGTCGACTTTTTTGTACATATATATTATTACTACGTCATTCCTGCCATCCACATAGTTGTCGTCTCCTTATAAATCATTAGCAGAAATATTGCCCAAAACGGCGTCGCGCATGCGTAATTAGGACAATAATAGCGGATAAATTTCCGCAAGAAATGTATGGGAGATACACATTTTCGCCAAAAATATCATTTTAAGAGAAAGGTTTTCCCAAATCGCACATCGATCATATTGTATGTCATTTACATGATAAATTGAAGTATATCCGCTTCTATCTCGAGGTTCCTGAGCGTTTTTTGTTTTGTACATACTCAGCGATCAAATTTGCCTACATTCTCTACAAATGCTGCATACCTTTGTGATTTGAAGTCGAAAAAAAAGAGTTCAAATAGTTGGTAAACACTCAGGTCGCACATCGATACGTCCAAATCAATGTCAACATTCGTGAATTCTGCTCCAAAAACCTCCAAAAAATCCCTTTAAATAGGTTCCCGAAGCATGGATAGATTGCAGTTAAACGGATTCACGAACTTTGAGAACTATATCTTGTGTTAGGTATGTCCAAGAGGAAAAAATGCAAAACTTATATATACTTCTACTCTAGCCGTTAATAATGACACGTCTATGATAATGGTACAAATTAAAACAAAGGGCGCGCGGTCCTATAGAATTTACATGCGCGCAAATAATGTTCGATAAATATCAGGACCGTTATTTTGTAGTTTCCTGAATGTCTGTCCCTTTCCGAGTGCCAAGCCATATACTATACGTATACATTTTTATTGTTTTCTTCCTAACAAAGAGTGCTTTGCTTTGAATAAAACAATATATTCCATGCTTTCTAGGTTAAGGCTGCACAAACAAGATCTCGAAATAGTAGTAATTAACTGGAAAAAATCGCGCGCTTTAAAGGTTGTAAATTTGATGTAAATATGATGTAAGTGTCCAAAATTCTGTAAATATGATGTAAATGATTTCCATTAAATTTACAGAATTTTGYACAATTACATCATAATTTACAACCTTTAAAGCGCGCGATTTTTTCCAGTGTATTTCACACGAACAATATCAGATCAAAAAATGTGCTAATACGTGAGAGAATGTCGATATTATTTTTGATAGTCTTCAGCGTACCTTTGTTGCAACATAGACAAAACCAGGTGACTTGATCAAATCATTTGGATGCTGAAAGTGATCGGAGTCATTAATATCACACGTCATATTCACAGCTCTGTAGTTAATTGATTGACACCCGTCACTCATGTAGCAGAAAGCTGCACAATCGGAGCTGGAYTCGGCTAATGTTGTTCTTATTGCGTGGTTTTGGAGATAGTGGCCATCYGTCTCAGTGTAGAAGAGCATGTTTTTGCACCCCTGGGTATAAACATCTGGAAAAAAAAATATGTTAAAAAAAACTTTATTGTCTTATCATGGTATTGTTGGAAATTCAGTAAAAATGRAGAATATAAAAATGTATCGCTAAAAGTGTGTGCAAACTAAAACAATTCATCAACCAGTATAGCAAATTACAAAGAGTACGCAACATATCAGTCCTATGGTAAAAGGAATATAATGAAATCGCAATTAATGACTATAAAAACTGCAATCGAACGTACTTAATTCCGTTTTGTGACAAAATAAAACATAGTGCACTCTTTTGTAAGCGGACAGRTCTAATATATCATGGACAGCTTTTCAAATCCCCGTTTTTGTCCTATTCAAAACCTGTATTCACACTTTCTTATAGGCGAACAGCTCTACCGACGGACACACATTTTTTTCCGTTTCCCAAGTGTGTCCGCTTACGGGAGATTCAGCTATGTTACAATATATAATAACATCGCTATACACTATATATTTATTAATGTAAAAATGAAATGCAAGAAAGTAAAAGATAAAAAGAACATTTATAAGAACTGCGTAGTAAATAGARAAAACAATTATTGCAAAAGAGCAAAACAAAACACATCTGGCTTCTTCTCATTTATAAGGGGAATTTCTTAACGTGCGGCGTGCGTGTACAAATATATATAAGGTTGTCAATGTCAAGATTAGCTTTAGCACCAGATAACAAAGATAGCCATAAGCCATATTAAGTCATCCTAAATCCCAAGTGTCTTATTGATCAAATGCTGACGAAAATTAGATATAAAAGCGGGATAAAGAATGGAATATTGAATAGTGAAAGTTATGGAAGTGTTAGCTTGTTCCATCGCTTTTTATTTTATAGATATGTTTTGTATTTTCAATTTCCTTCGTTGAATTACAACCTGTCATATTTATTTTTTTTTATATTGATAAAATTATTATATCGCTAACTAGTGTTAGGGAGTTTGAAGAAAGATTATTATCAAATCCAGTAAAGAATAAATATTAATTTATGAATKATTTCTATATCTATCAGATCTAAAACATTTTCTTCTCAAAATTTTGAGTTGTTTTTTGAACAAGAACTTAGTCGTGACTTTCTAAAATGTATTGTGAACACAATCCAACGTACTCACCCTGAAACCTTAGCAACAGACAAATTAAGAAATATGCCTTTGGTATCCACAACGATTGCTCCATATTATWATTATTTTTTACTGTTTTCTTGCATTTCTGTTTTAGATGTTTTAATGTCGACTTTGGTGATAGGAGAGGGCCCTCATGACATTCCAGCTAAAATGAACAACTGTTATATTGACCATTCTTATTCAAATGAGTTAAATTTGACATGCACGGTAAATACGATCACTTTTTCCCAAGCAGGTACTGGCAGAATTGATTAGACAGACGGTTAAATAAAACATAAAAAGAAGGGAATAAAAAGAAAACATTAATTAAAAAAGCATTAATTAAACATATATATATATATGTTAAAACCTTTATTTCAATAAATTCAGGAAAAAACAATAAAAAACAAAGAGCTTTTCTTACAGTGTGGCTTGTAGAATTTTGATATACAGAATTTATACTTAATAATCGATTTCAAAAATTTCTCTCTATTTGAAGAAGTTAAACTTTTAATTAAAGAACACGCAGCTGCTTTACATATATCTGGTTTAAATTTTTATTAAACATACGTAGATATTAAAAGCATTAGCCATTATTRCCACAAAAAAGTAGCACTCTGAAGTTTTTCCTAAGTCTAGTCGAACTGAGTTTTATCGTAAACATTTCATGAAATTCTTTTTCATGTACTCGTGTTTTTGTGACAATTATTTCGATCTTGGTGTGTATTACAATAGTTACCTGAGTAATTAATTAATACATATYTTTTTGTTGTCAATGATTGATGGCTCGAGCGGATTTTATGACTTATATGAAACTCAATCACATCGATAATTGTGGAATAATAAAGGTACAAAAATTCATATTTCATTTATAGAATTTTAGTCGGAAGTGCATGAACTTCGTCTCTCTGAGGAGATATYCTGGTATTTGCCCTTCATTGTAACTGATTCGTCAATGCTCTTTAGAGAAGGCATATTTCCCAGAATGTCCCCAGGCAGTCCCTTTATGTTTAGAAGCTTCAACACATTGCATTTGGACCGGTAGTTAAAGTTTTATCCCTTTTATAAATAGCAGATGATGATAAATAAAATACACAAAACTTTTTTACAACTTCTTTGAAATCTTCTCTCAAAAAGAGTACCACGAGTTTTTACTAAAACGCCAAAAATATCCAATCATTATTCTAAGAGTCAATTGACACAGTCAACTTTTCTACTAGAAATCCACATAAATTCATTATTCTTACATTATATAACTGCGCAAAGCCATTCTTGTCTCCAAATAATATCTATAAWATACATCAGGCCCGTCGGCTGCCTTACAAATGGGGGATTCGTTTTTTCATATGCGGACCTAAATGAAATGTTTATCTAAATATTTCAATGCAATAGGTATAGTGTGTAAGAACTGGCTGCTAGAATGAGCAGTTCATAACAAAATACAGTTCACAGAAAAAGAATTTTAAAATAGAACAATAAAAAAGAGAAACACCGGACCTTTTAAGCTTTTGGGGGGTTCGTCCGAATCCCCCGAACCCCCCCAGCCTAAGAGCCTGAACATGGTTCAAAAGTTCTTTAGTTTAGAATATCCCTTGCTGTAGTACTCTGCTACAAACAGATCTACTTTTCTCACTTTATTAGATTAAGGTGTTTCGATCGTAATNTTTTTTTTTTTTTTCATTTTAGCTAAAGAAATATTACTTTTTAATAACTAAAACAAACAAATTTTTAGCACTCGAATGGCTTTTCAGTATTTTTACTGACAAGCTCAAACCGGTTTTTCAGAGCGAGTTTGCAACGATCATCGGCGGACGGCAAACTTGCAGACAGACCAGGGCCACAAATCCTAAGATTTCTACAGTTTTCCATTCTTATCTCGATTAGAAATATCATCTATGAAGAAAAGACTTCGAAAGGTTGTTACTGAAAAATTGAAAACAAGTTTAAAGTCATATTTTGAGTCTTATTTGGACGAACGAAACTCGTCGAAGTCAGTAGTAGCCCTGACTTGCCAAGCAGACTTCAAAACCTACTTCATGTTTACTTGTGAAAGAAAGCGTACTAGTAGTAGACATTCTCAATCAAAAAGTAGCTGAAAAACTCAAACACAGAAACATTTCATAAATTCATCCCATAACTTGTTCTGGCATGGAATATTCAAGAAAAAATGACAAGCGAAACAGCTTTAGTTTTCTGCAAGAAACGGCGTGCAAGAAACGGCGAAGGCCGCTCAATTTTTGTTTACGTAGATGAACTGATCTTGACAAACTTTAAAATGTATTACACTACCATGCAGGTATTTAATAAATAGTATTTTAATAATTAATTGTGACGTTATATTTATGAGTTTTGGGGTATTTTTTCGTTTGAAAACGTTGCTTTTATCGAGTTAAACTTAACTAACTTAAATGTGTTTTTGTTATATTTTGCTTCTTGAAATCTAGATAAAGTGAATAGACAAGTTGTTGGGAACTAAAACAATTAGATAATAACTTTTGCCAGGGTTTTACACGGATTTTGTGAGTAAATTGTTGAAATAACGCAAGTGTTTTTAAGGTAGCTTATCGGGGCGTTGAATTCAGGTTTCTCAGCGTTGAATTCAGGTTTCTCACCCAATGAATTTACCTATAAAATACCCTCTCATCCGGTTGACGTGTTGACCAATCAACGCACGACTTTAAAATTGAGGTATGAGATTCTCTATGAAATACCTATATTTCTCCATTTCGTAAAATTGATATTTTCACTAGTGAAAATAACATGTTATTTTCACTAGTGAAAATATCACGTTCGAGGTTTCTCTATATAGTGGACCTAAGAAAAAAAGGTATTTTACGGCATAATTTGCTTTTATATGTAATTATATGATAAACCGCTACGCTCACTCGTGAGAGATCTTTTCAACACTCGAAGATAAAATTCGTATCTCCGCGCGTCCATGTAATATCCTCTATTTATTACGATCGAAACATCTTAATAGAGCGGAAATGTTCCATAGAGTTATATCGGTTTATCGGCGGATCCTCTTGCCTAAGTACTGAACATGATATACTCCTGCATGGTATAAGATCAGTACATTAATGTTGAAGCAGATCTCCTATATAATTAAAGGACGAAAATGGCGAAGAGTTAAGGAGGAAGAAACGTTTTTGTTTAATATGTATGCATGCAGCTTCCGCTTTMTCGTCTTATWAATGTCGGCGATTTCAGTAGAGTGTCAATTACTAAGAATAGGTGAGATAACATAAGGCCTCTTTTGTCTTCTATTATTCGGAAGTTCACGTGACCTGCCTGAGCAGACTGTTTAGGAAAGGCTCGTTTTCTTCTATTGATTAGCTGTGAATTTCTCCGTCAAATAATCGAAACACGGTTTAATAAGGTAAGGTTATCATTTTATAGTAGTTCCAGTGTTTCTAGCAGCTTTTGATATGTTTTGACAGTGTTTCGTAGCTCAAAACATGCAAACATGCAGTAATTGTATACTATATATAAATTTGAGCATATGTGATCAGAAAGTTAGGTTTCATGCCTTGGAACTAAGATTCATCAAAAGAAAGCAGCTTAACAAAGGCACTGGTTCCAAATAATATTCTTCAGATTCTTGGGGGAAAAAATATGCAAATTGATTTGAGTTATTTGGATTRTGAGAGACTTGTCAGAACTAGTTTCATGAGATAAAATCCTTCCAGAAACAGTTTGATGGTGTATCCTGATTTATCAACATTCACGCAAGAATGAGAATRTTTTATAATATTAAAACCCTTATAATATTCGAAGCAAAAACTTTAAGGACGTAAAGGGTCATTGGTGACGTAAGTCCTGTAACGTAATATACTCGCATGGCACTCATCATTCTACACTATAAACACATTCCCAGACGATAACAGTCACTTTCGTTTCCCTAGAATTCTTAGAATCTCATCACGTACTCTGAGTAACTCCTGAGAGAGAATGTCACTAGAATATATCGAAATTAAGCTTTCTTACTAAAATTGATTTAGATATGATAATGTTTTATTTCCTTGACATTTCCAGGAAAGATGAAAACTTTTGGYACTGTAATTGRATTCTTCGTTCTTCCAGTCTTCGTCAGTSCTTTCATGACAGTCGTGAATCACTGCACKTCAAACCACATGGGGTCCTGTCATCAYCATTTCACWAATGGAAATTTTAATGCACACTGCAATGGAAACAGRCTAAATTGCTTCCAACAATGTACCTCTGCTGGTTGCACCATGACATGTTCTTCACCAAACACTTGCAGTCAGAATTGCATTGCCAGTGGATGCCAGAGTTTGGTGTGCAATTCCAACCAGTGCACYCAGACATGCTTTCAAAGTCGTTGCAATATGAAATGCAATAGCACCTGTGCGAACTGCAATCAGAACTGCCAAGGAGGCTCTTGCAATATGACCTGTCCATCAAGCGCTAGAAGATGCATACAAACGTGCAATAGCAAGATYTGTCATATGACCTGCCCGAAAGGAGTGCAATATTGCGAACAAACATGTGCTGGTGGAACCTGCAATATGYTGTGTTCTGGCCATTTCTGTAGACGAAACTGCCAAGGTGGAAGTCATTGTAGAATACTTAGTAATAATCAGCACACCAAGTCTCTTGCTTTGCATGGAAGCACTTGCACCCACAATTGCACATCGCCCGGCTGCAATTTGATTGGTAACACCTGTCATCAAAAGTGTCACTCAAACAAATGCAAATTGGATTTCAAGGCTGACAGATATCGGCGAGTTAGCCGTCAACTCTGCCTTGGAGGAAATTGCATACTGAAATGCAAGAACAGGAACGGTCGATGTCAACAGGACTGCAAAGGAGGTAGATGTACAGCCGTAAATTGCAACTCTAAATTTTGCTTTCAAAGATGTGTCGGTGGAGGATGTAACATGAGATGCAGTGCCTTGGGATGCAAGCAGATTTGCATCGGAGGAGGCTGCAACATGCAATGTAGCAYCAAGGCCAAGAAATGTTCTCAAACRTGTCAAGGGGGTGGATGTAGGGCAATGACATGCAACTCTAAGCATTGCGTCCAYTCATGTCTTGGTGGAGGWTGCGCAGCGAAGTGCAGAGGAATACGATGTAACCAGAAGTGCTTGGGAGGAGGTTGTAGGCTAATTTGCACCAGAAGAGCAAAAACGTGCTCCAGATACTGTCTTGGTGGTGGCTGCCTTAGACTTAACCACAAGACTTAAGTTATTAGAAATTGATAAATCAACCATAGTGAAAAGTAGGCTMTGATGAAGTCTGAAGATTTCGCTTGGGAAGGGGCTAAAGACTTTTCGGTTATTTTTTAATTAAGAAATAGATCTTTCATCGTTGGAATGCCATGGACTAAGGTTATAAGGATAACTGTGTCAGGAACTAACGATAACAGACGCTTTGCTGTAATTTTCTTTTTGTGATATTGTAATTGGCTCGCTKTTGAACAACGATCTGATGGCCCGGTTATTGAGAATTAAGTAGGTGACGTTATTCACCCGATGAATCTTTATCAGGATAAACCTATCGACAAAATCTCTACGAGCTGGATAACCAGTGATCTTTCATACAGCAGTTGAGTATTTGTTTTTCGCTTTTTGAACTTTAAGACGACAGTTTTTTTTAATCTTTAAATAAATTAATTGCCACTAGAGAGCTAATCCGGCAAGTAAATGGGTATTAGCTTATTTTGCGCTATTTAGACAGAGGAATTAAACCATCAGGAATATGATGAGCAAGGAAAAGAAAATGTAGGCGTATAGTATTGTTCGTAGAGGCCATAAGAGCAAACCCTTTCGATTTGGCCACTACCATATCCAGGGATTAATCCCTAGACCAATACCAACAACAAGCAGCAACATTCAATCACAAACAGACGGAAATTGTCTATAGGTGAGTTTATCCCTTGAAACATAACTGATGCGAACCAAAAATGAGCCACCCCTCCCCCTTCAAAAAGGTATGATAAAAATCGTTGACTTCACTAAGCTCCACTATGCTACAGTTGTTAGTGRAACATTATATCCGACGKCATTGGTTAGCCCAGACACCAACTGCTAGAGAGGCGCCGACATGTCTCTTGCCAAGCCACACAGGGCCGTACTGATGCCATTAAATGATTGGTAAACGAGTCATTTAAATCAAAACACAGACTATGTTTAGCGGCAAATGGTATTAATCCTGCCATGARCCTTCTCCATTGATTACGGCTTCCTTCGTTTGTATAAATCTTCATCGTACCATAAGTAAGGGCGTGTTTAGACGGAGATCATAGAGTGCTCTAGGTTTCAAAGCTAATCCAACTGTTAAAAAAATGAAAAAATAGAAATCTGTCCTTTAGAAAGGTATAAATAATGATTCATATTTGACTTGATCAAGAGTTCTCATTTTCCATGATTCTTTTGCGTTTTAAATTTATTTTGACYTCATATTGATGTCGTGTAACATCAMAGTGAATAATGTTTGTATACTTGGGCTCATAGAAGATTTCTGGCACCCTTCCGATAAGACACTCAAATGCTCATGAATTTTAAAAATTCATAGACAATTTAAAGAAATGTTTGTATGTTGGATTTAACTTCATAATGTACTTTGCTACATCAACCTTGATGTTTTTTTTAGGTCCAAAGCTCGGTTTTATTTTTTCGTATTAAACATCAAGGTTGATGTAGCAAATTACWCTATGAAATTTATAAACAATATAAAACGCTAATTTGTCATCGAATTAATGTTTTAATGAGAGTCTGACTATCCTAAGGTGCTTGTTACGCTCTGGATCCAAACACTGGCATTCTCATTACATCGACTGTCCCAAAGCTTGAGCTGCTCTAAAGGTCAACGTTTTCTTCCGGCCGTCAATTACCAAACACTTACTTAATTAAACGCACATAGCGTTTGAACTGTGACACTTGTGACAAACACAACTCAGCAGGGAAGGGGTATGATAATTTTGGTGCATATAGATCATTTAATTATTTTTGATCAGAATTCAGTGATTGTAGAAAGCTCTATTATAGACATGGAATATATTATGTTACAATGACTCAAACATTACCGGAATTCCAAGGATCCCTTGAAAATATACACACTTAAATGCAGGTAGATSTTTTTCAGCTCTGTATCCCCACCCTAGTTAATTATCTTTGWTATTTGTACACTGTTTTGATTTASCTTGATTTGTAGGGTAACTCACTTTGTATTCTCGTTTGTCCGGCGCGTTTATCAGCGAGAGTTAGAGAGGTTTTGGTCGTGWAAACTACTTACTTCTGGTGAGCTCAAATTGGCCTCCTTTAGAATTTTGAGTGCATCATTCAACGTTGGTATATTATACGAGCTCCATAAGAGGAGCTTCATRTTGAGATCAATTTACAGTGGACCGAAACGTGAGTAATTTTGCTTGATTTGCTTTCACTATTCCATGGCTTGACAGTTACTTTTTACTAGTATTGGAAATAACTCTGCTGTACTGAATTATATTTTGACTCTCTTGTTCACACTCACATTATTTTAGTGATCTAGAATCTTAGCAATAAATCAAATTAAGTTCTAGCTTATATGTATGAATATTCTTTTCTAATTTTTTCCTTACTTTTCAATGGCATTGCATGCAAGCATTGTGTAAAGTTATCGAATTTATTAATATTTCACAAGGCAAACTCAGTGTGAAATCATTTCCGTGACCGCAGCTTTATARGAGCAAGAGATTGGTCCTGAGTTGCATACGACTTTAACTTCGATTTTCTGTTAAAAATAACATTTTATCTTGTATAGTTTTTAGCGAAAAAATACACATGAAAGTCTCCCGCTCATATTTTATATATTACATGTCAATTTTGGCAGAAATAGATCCAGTCATACTACTGAATTTCATGATATTTCAATATTAGTGCTGCTGGATTTATGTATCGATATCAGTGAACAAAATCAAATATTTTACGAGCCAAACCCATATCATTAAAATGAGTAGCATATTTTTATTGAATTCAAAAGTAAGTACGTTTTTCTACAATACGTGTATAAGCTTAGTGTTCTTAGGACATGACTAACTTTACATGTCCATAACACAGACTAATGGATGTCATTAAGACATGCCAGTTGTTATACTTAACAGCCGGCATGATTACGAGTGGTTTCAATAGATAAAATCTATCTTGATCTCAGTTACTTAATTAATGTCACTAGGTTCGAGTCAAATATCTGATGACATTTGTAAAGACTGCGCCATTAGAAATTATAAAATAGCTATTATGTAATGTGGTGATTGATTGGTTGAATTCTGGTAAAAAAACCGTGTTTCTGCTAGAGCATAGAAAAGCACCTTTTAAGGAAAGGGTTTTTATAGTTATAAAATAATTAGAAAATATTTTTCTTGTTTCCATCCTCTGTTAGAAACACTTGGGATTGTTGGGAGGACACTTGAAAAGGTTTGAGGTTCCTTGCTTTTATAGCTCTTGATCCCAAAACCTTTTATTGTGCTTGTTCTCCCAACGGTTCACCGTGTTTCTAACAGAGAATGGAAACAAGGAGAATATCTCCGAATGCTGTGGGAGGAGGGAGAAAAAGATACCCAAAAAAGTCAAAAGGGCGAACTTTTCTAATTGTGAATAAACCAGGAGATKATCGTTCTTGTTAACAAAAACGTACATATGGTATAATTCATGGATCAGAGCCCGGTAAGAACCAGTCTATTTATGAACCAAATGACCCAAGTTCCTACTTAATACAAATATTGGCATTTAGAGAATTTCATGAAGACTGATCGAGTCAATATGTAACATGCATTACCGAAAAACGAGGGCCAAGGTTATAGAAACTAGGCCACCCTCGTTACTTCTTATTTTGGGGGAACACGAGAATTGTTTTGAATCACGAGATGAATTTAATTTGTTTGAATAACTTACAGCACTTTTCATGTCTCCCTCACTGTAGTCATTGTAACTGGTGGTACAAGAAGCTTGGATCGAGGAATAGACATATTTTACTTGAAATCATGTAAGGTTTCGGACTGGGAATCAGAGAGAGACCATAGCGGTGACAGAAAACGGCGCCCTATAATCATTTGGTGACACTTCATTTGATTAGCAATTTGGATCGAGAATAATGAGAATTTTTTATGTGATATAATGTCGTTAAAAAAACTGAGGGGAAAGGGATCATCTTTAGAAGTATTTGACAAGTAGCCGCGTATTTTTTATCACGAGCACTGAGCAAATTTGAGTTATTTTTTTTTTCCAATGAGCACATTTTAAGTGAATGTGTGTTTTAACAACTTACGGTAGTTTTTAGTAACGCTATTTTTTGCTCCATCTCTTCTTTAGGAAGATGAAAGCAATATATCCAGTKCTAATTTTGGTACTTGCACCGAAAATTATCACATCGTCCAAMACAGTTAAACACTGCACTGCTCATAGAGCTCGAGCCTGCCGCCAACACTTTATTTATGGAAGTCTGAACATCCATTGCAACGTAACCAAAAACTGTGACCAAAAATGCGTACGTGCAGGTTGTAAAATGAGTTGTATTTCACCGGCATCATGCAAGCAAAAATGCATAACCAGTGGATGCAAGAGCATGATATGCAGTGCTAACAAGTGCACGCAGATCTGCTCTAGCAGTCGATGCACTATGAATTGCAATGGAGATAAATGCAAGCAGACATGCGTAGGAGGCTCGTGTAATATGACATGCCCAGCAACTGCTAAAAGATGCATTCAAACTTGCAATGGAGGTGGCTGCTTTATGCAGTGTCCAAGAAGTGTTTCMTATTGTGAGCAYTCTTGCAATAAAGGAACATGCCTTATGCTCTGTTCAGGAAGGAATTGCAWGAGGACATGCTCCACTGAAGCAGATTGTAGATACCTCGACGATGCTGCTTTGYTACCAAGCAAAMCCATTAGTTACAAAAAAATCSGCAAATGCAGCAGTGTTAGCTTCAATATATGCTACCAAAAGTGTCCAGCAAACAGATGCGATTTGGTGTTCACTGGTAGGCGTGMTTCAAGCCTCGGTAGCAGTCAATCTTGCATCGGAGGAAATTGCCTGTTTCACTGCAGTAGTAAGAGAGGTAGATGTTGGCAAAGCTGCACTGGTGGACGTTGCATMGAGATGACATGCAATTCCAGYATGTGRATTCAGACATGCGGTGGSGGRGGCTGRAACATGAAATGCAATTCTTTGAAGTGCAATCAAGTTTGTATAGGAGGTGGATGCAAGATGGAATGCGGAAGCAAAGTGAGAAAGTGTTATCAATCTTGCCAAGGTGGTAAGTGCTCACTAAGGTGCAATGCTAAGAGATGCTTCAAACTGTGCTCAAGTGGTACGTGTAGATATCTTCCACCGTCAACTCAATCTTCCAAGCCAAAAGAATGCAAAAGTTTAAAGCACAAAACCTGTGGACAGGAATGTTCAAAGAAAAGATGTTCCTTGAGCTGTAAAAACACCAGGACTTATGGCTCCTGTGACCAAGCGTGCCTTCATGGAAAATGCCGCTTAAAGTGCAATGCTCGCGACTCCTGCAAACAGACATGCCGGTCAGGAAAATGCCTTGRCATGACATGTAAATCAAYAAAGTGTAATCAAKAATGTCCAGGAAACCGATGCAGCATGGCTTGRACTTCTGATAATTGCCAACAACAGTGCAAAGGTCGGGGCTGTAACATGAACTGTGCTTATGGAACGAAAAATTGCCATCAGGTCTGTGACGGAGGTGGRTGTTTAATCAACTGCTACGGAGAGAAGTGTACGTATTCATGTAAAGGAGGATCTTGTGTGACTAGAGTAYTCSAAGCAGCTGAAAACAAGAACTCTTCCGAGAAGGTTTACTTCTTATCTCTTCTAGGGAAATGACCCTCTGAATGAATTCATCTGTAACACTWATCTCCAGACCTCTTGGGAGTCAGTAGAATTCTTTGCTGTATCTAAATTGATTAAGTCAATAATTCCAAGAAACGCACATTTGACGCGACTTTAGACAACAATGAAGTCTTTTACATGAAAATTTTGAATTTTCCAAAGAATAAAATACAGTACATTAGGATTTTGAAGCAAGATATTCAATACACCTTTTCAGTTGCTCTTAGGCCTCGACAACATGGAAAATATTCTTTTGAATTTGTAGGAATGTGAGCAATGCACACTGAAAAGGTGTATATCCTGAAGATAAGTTTTATTTTTATTTTTTGTATTAAAATACATCAAATAGAGTTTTCTTTTAACTGGACAGTTTTTTGAGGAACAAATTCCATATAGGGATGTATATATATACAGAGCTCAAATGTGCATCGAGTTATAATAACCATAATACCTTATAATACCTTTATTTCCCTTCTAATTATTGTTACAATACTCCATTTTCGAATTCATATCGAAAGACCGCTGCTTTATTTGACAACAGATTCTCTTGCGCAAAGACCTGACCGAACACAAAAGAAAGCACGAGAAAATGTCGTTATTGCAATAGCCTTGAAAATTTGCATTTTCCCCGAGTTGAGATTAACTCTGTGTTCACATAGGAATAAGGCACGGACCTTCTGGGAATACCGGGTTAGCCTCAACTCGGGGAAAATGTAATTTGTTAGCGCAATTGTACTAACAACATTTTCTCGTGCTTTCTTCTGTGTTTAGTAAGTTCTTTGCGTAAGAGAATCTTGTGTCAAATAAAACAGCGGTTATTCGCGTTGAATTCGAAAATGGAGTATTGTTTGTTAYATGTTGTAGAAGAACTCATTATAGTGTATACAGTTTTATGTACAAACGCGTGGTTATTCATAAATATCGTCTATAATTACCAAAAAGGTAATTTCAGGTTTATGCTAGAGGAAGATCTTGGCTTCATGCATGGTTACGAGTTTAGGGAAATGTAGGGTTAGACAATGTATAGCGCTGGGRTCGAATCTTCATGCATGCCGTACGTTAAAGTTTATTCTCTGTTTTATTAATTTCCAAGTTCTTCTGTACATGATGTACATGAGAGCGTTACATGTGTGCATCAAAGCGGTGTATATTTGCAGCCATATATGGAAGTCGAACAAATAACATTTTTCGCGGGATTGACAGGAAATTTTTTCTGCATATTTCTTTTTCTCAAAGAAATCTAATTCCTTGGGGTCATTGGGAAGTGGTACGATTGCTGTATTGTCTATAGACGGAAATAAAAGATAAAAATAGCTTGGAAATGGCGTCAAAATCATCTCCAAATAGATTTTGTTTTGTTACGAAAATTAAACATGCTTCAGTTTGCTGAATGTGTRATATGCTCGTCACACAAATGATTTACTAACGGTTTACTTTTCGTCTGCATCATTTGACGATTAACTTTTTTATTGCCAATAAATGTCATTACCAATACTTACCAATACTTTTATACTTTAATCAAAATAAATATACGAATTTCGCTTGCATTTTTTTGTGAACGTTCTTTTTCATTGTTGTACTATTTTCAAAAGATTTTAAACTGATCCTATTATTATTTTCTTAAATAAACAAATAAGATAAGCAAATATATAAATAATATAGTTAATCTTTACACAGAAACTAAAAGGTTGGCACCCATTAATCATTCCTACCTATGACATGGCATTARCTTTCTATTAATGCCTTTCAAGTTTTCCATTTTATATTTMTGGTGGCAATTTTCTGACAGCATGACACCTGGAAAGATTTATCTTTGGGCAGTTTCATTATTGACCTTCCCTTGTGTTAGCAGCACTCCACAGAACAAAAGGTTTGCTAGGAAGTGCTTAAGTAGAAAGGGAAGTGCTTCCAAAGTCGGGWCAACCTATGCAAATGGTTGATTGAGATAATGTATTGAACCTGATATTGTTTATCCGTTTTCATAGTTTTGGTTTGTTTTGCTTCTGTTTTTGCTACTTTTTACTCATCTTTTTCCCTCCAGTTGTACTGAGTTTTAAAAACAAATCCATCAATCATCTTCATTGCTTGTTATATTTTGATTTTAGGGCCTGACTTCAAGTGTTCAATGTTTTTCTCCAGGGATTTTTAAACAGATCCTTCTCCAAAATGACTATTGCTTACATTTTTTTGGTCCAAACCCGAGCTAAAAAAAATGAAATACATGTAGCAGGTGTAAAAACAAACAAAATATTCTAAGGTCCTAGAAAATCCGAATTGAGATACGCATTTTTCAAATCTAGTTATTTTACATAGAAAATGTACGTCACTAGCGTCATCCTAACTAAAAAAAATGTCAGCCATTTTTCGGTCAGCAAAACTTTATTTTGGACCATGTCAACCATGTCGTAATTAATGGAGAGGAWTGATTTGGAAAGCTTTTGCTGTACTTCTTTTGCACATCCTTTGTATAGTATTTTGAGGTTGAATCAGTCCATACCGTGCACAACTTTTTTTCTTAGAGACGATAGAAATTGCAAAATGAGTGAACGCAAACACTCTCTATGTGATTCAATTAAATGAAATATTTCAATTTTGGTTAAAAATGTTTGGTGCATTTTGAAGAAATAATCAAAAGATTAATTTTCGCACTGTTCATTCAGATATGACCAGTATGGCCAAAATAATAGTTAAATAAAAGATTGTGCACGGTCGCGTTTGTAAAAACACTGGAAAAAATCGCGCGCTTTAAAGCTTGTAAATTTGATGTAAATATGATGTAAGTGTCCAAAATTCTTTAAATTTGATGTAAATGATTTCCACTAAATTTACAGAATTTTGGACACTTACATCAAATTTACATCAATTTTACAACCTTTAAAGCGCGCGATTTGTTCCAGTGAAAAGTACACAAAAACCTACAAAAAAATGCTTCCTAACCATTTCCATCTACAAAAAGTATGACCAGGTCTATTCTCAATTCTGGCTAGATTTATTACTCTATTCTTTTTCACAATTAAAACACTAGGTAGCTGTTCCTGGCTTTAAATCATATACTAAATATGCCAATATTGTTTATTCCATATGTGTGTACGAAAAGGGAATTTAAATTTGACCGGATACGTTGACCCAGACTTTTCTACTATTCGACATGATCTGTTTACTTAGCTCCAAATGGAGGATTAACTTAAAAGAACAAAGGTTTAAATGTTAACTGTTTTTTCAGGCGTTCTGRTTTGTTCATATATCCTAATTTTCTCCATTTAAGAACAAAAAGATTAAAGCGCAAATATGTAAATAGGACCATGGCAACACGTTGGCTCTATCTAAGTCACATTGTCAACATACAAGTWCAGCTGAATACACTAAAATAACTCTTAAAACCACGAAAATGGAATATCAAATACGAAGATATGCTGTTCAATAGGAAGAATCCAGTATAAATGAGTCATCCTAAGCCGTCTGCCTTATAGATCAGTTTTTCTCATTTCTTTGTTGTTAAGTTTCACTGCTGTTGGCCTTCCATGTTTGGCATGCTACCCTTAGGTCATTTGGATCTGTAAACAAAAGGCGATCRGAGAAGTATTTTTGTTAAGAGGAAAGTGTTTGGAACTCAGTGGCGTTGGACAGCTTCCTCGAGGTAGGTTAAAGTGAAGAGATTTGCCACAAAAATTTGMCTTTCTCTTTTTTTAGATTTCACGCTTAGAATTTAAGAATTTCTCTCATTTTGCTTTCGTTTGTTGCACAAAGTCTTCCACAATTTCTTATCCACTTGATTATTTATTGCTTAATAAGCATTTTGAATTTCTACCGCTCTTTTTTCGAGTTTTTTTTTTGCGCAGATTCCTTGATGTATATATGGTTGTTATACATTTTAGAACCATATTCGAACTATAGTAGCTAAATTAGTGTTCATTATATACAACACTATTTATTATGAACATTTATAGATTCAAAAAATCTTCACTAATMTTTAGAATTTTGTAAGTGAAAGGTGCGAGAATACTGATTCATCTTRACTATGGGATTTCAACTCTGCTTTCTAGCTATCTATAATAACAAAACTAAACCTGGGGCATATACACTTTTAGCAGTTTCTTTTTTTACCTTTTTTTTGCTGATCTTTAATAAACCAACAGACCTGRAAGGTGTTAGTACGGACGAAAATGAAAATAATAAGAAAACATATYAATATACTTGTAAGGATTTCTTTTAAACTAAATTATGTCGTGCTGACATTGAATTCATTCAGGAAGGATTTCCCTGAGTATTAAATGGGCGGACTGTCTCATCTTTAAATTTATTTTTTTTAGCTTTTCGAAAATAAATTAAAAGCTAAAAACAATAGCTCATTATTATAATCAATAATTCATAAACGTATAAKCCGAATATCGTATGTTTTACCAATTTTAAAGAGCTTTGGATAAACTATTCCGTCATGGTGCATCTCAATGATCGTAAAATGAGCTTTAGGATCGGAATTTGATGGAGTTTTTTTTCTCTCATCTCTCAAAGGAAATTATGTCGAGTATAATGAAAAGGTTTGTTGCTTGAGGCGCTCCTTTTTTGGATAATTAAATATCCCATCTAATATAGTATGAATAGAGTCTAATGATCGACACCGAAAGAGTTCTGAAATATTGTTTTAATCATAACTTGAAGCAATATAATCTGAAAAAATCCCGAATTGATAATATACCATAATGGCAGTGACTGGCCATAAACTGTTAAAGATTCTCTTACATGAACAATGTTTGAATTTCATTCGTGACCAATTTTGCTATTAGATGTATAGAAAATGACATAAATTGTTAAGAGACATAAGAGACATATGTCGAAATAATGTGAATTTTATTATACCTTTTCCATGTTGTTGATTACATATATTCTTAGTTATCTCCAAGAATATATATATCTAGGTATAGAAAATATCCTAGAAAATTATTTATTTTTCTTGGAATTGAAGTCGACAAATAATAAAGAGCTTTGTCGTTGTCGTTCCTCTGACTCAGTTACAGACTACTAATTGTAACTTTACTTTAATTCTATTATTTTCTTTTAGAAACGATGTTTAATGCTTTGATATATATTATAAAACATCGGGAACTGTTGTTGACATATTCAAGTAAATAAGMTGTCTATCTTTTTTAATGTCAATACACTTACAAGCTGGGACAAATACTAGGACTAGATCATTCATTTGCCTCAAAAACTCAAATKATTCAAAAAGGATACTTAAAAAGTGCTTTTTAAGCATTACAAAGTGGAATGAAACTTGGACTGAACAATTGCTCTTTATCATATATAGCATCCAGAACTATTAATCTGCACTTCATTACGAGTCAAAGTGTCATGCAACAATTCAAACTAAAAGTCAATAAATATTCTATTTTTTCCCTGCATCACATTAACGACAACTGACTTCATTTCAGTGATGGAAAATAGAAAAATATCACATAAACGATTAAAATAATAACAACAACAACAATAAAAACAAGCGAAAAACTACGATTGTGTTGGCGCTGTACGGAAGCAGAGGAAAGGCAAACACGGCAAATAAGCTGTTTATGACGAAGTGCCTGCCAATTCAACTAAAGTCAATAAACACTCTATAGTCCTAGTACAACAATTTGTTGCCAAATTTAAGATCAATGGCGATGTATAAATAAGGCACAAGCTGAGTCGAACCGACAAAAACACTCTTTCAAGTTCTTTTATTATGACGTGGGTTTTAAGCATTTACCATTTCGGTTGACCAATTATAATTTCAGAAACAGTGTGAAAATTACATTGTTTTATGACGTTRCCGACAGGGACATCCTTCCCTGATGTAGTCAACAATATAGCAGTGAATATGCGACAATATTCACTAAGTTGCAGCTGCTATGCTTAGTAGTTAAGATACTTGGATTTGTTACATTTCGATTCGTGTAGGTAAGACTCGTGTGGTAACTGTTTACTTTTTTTACGTAACCATTGATATTCACTGCGTTGATTTTTTCTTTAAATTTAAAGGTTTTTTTTAGCGAAAAAGCTATTTCAACACYAGAAAAACCAATGTCAAAAGAAAGCTAATATAGTAAATTTTATCAAGCGATCGATTACGAAGTCTAGTATTTTTTAGAACGAGTCAGAATTTTTTGCATTTTCGGAAATTTGCAGTATATAATTTGTCGTTTAAGATATTTACATATAAGATACATTATTGTTATTTGGMTTTTATTTAGACTAGCTGTGTGATATTACATGGCTTCTAAGAGAAATTAAGCAAGGTTCAAAAATAATCACTGTTCTTGCAGAGTTTCTCGTTACAAGCAAACGGTAGTTCCTCACAGGGATATACTKCTCTCATAATCATTGCCCAGCTGAGCATACATGGAATGAGACCATATTTATGCTGTTGTGAAATTMGAGTTTTATGCTATATCAGTTTTCAAACTTGCTATTGTCAGTGTGATGCCACTCTTTAGCATCCAAACAAGACYCCCTATTTCCTCGATAATGTAGATGTCTTACTATAATTTTGCTGATTAAGACCTGAGTTGTTGTATTTTCTAAAATTAGTCTCTTTAAAAAGAAAAATGTCTTCACAATAWGCCACGTTTTATTTCATTCTAAATRTGATGTTTTGCCTTTTGCGTTTTGCGTTTTTTTTTTAAATATATTAATAACCCTTTCATACTCTCAACAAAATCTCTTATTATAAACGGAAGAGCAGGATCCGGCAATGCATAGCGTATCTTTCAAAATAAACACCTTCAATTTTCTTAACAAGGTAAGAAAAAKAKAC